TAATAAAAACAAAGATGTAAAGATTTTAAATATTAGATATGTATGTAGCAAAGAAGGTGTTCGTAAAGCAGACAAAAGAGATTATTTAACTGTTAATCCTCGACCGGAAACAAGAACTAATTATCCTGTAAGATTAGGATTGAAGTACATGCATGAAATTGAGAAGTATAAAATTTATGATTTTATTGATGAGCACAACCATCCTTTGCATCTTCCAAAGACAACTCACATGCTAATATGTCAAGGGAAATTGTCTCAAGTTCAAGCTCATGAGATTGATTTAGCTAATGATTCAGGAATTAAGCCAAGAACTTCATTTGAATTAATGAGCAGGCAAGTTGGTGGAAGAGAGAACCTTGGTTACACATGTTTGGATTAAAAAAATTATCTTCGTAGTAAAAGATTGAGAAATATGACTTATGGGGAGGCAGACAACTTATTACGATATTTTCAACAAGAATCAATTGAAAACCCATCATTCTATCATTCAGTCTAATTAGATGTTGAAGAACAAATCACAAATATTTTTTGGGCTGATGCAAGAGTGTTAATGGATTACGAATTTTTTGGTGATGTGGTCTTGACACTACATATAGTACCAATAATGTATATAGACCTCTAGCTGTGTTTGCAAGATTTAACCACTTTAGAGGGGTGGTAGTTTTTGGAGCTGCACTTCTTTATGATGAAACTACAGAATCATTTGAGTGGCTTTTTAGAGAATTCTTAAAGGCGCACAAAAGCAAGAAGCCTCAAACTCTTTTCACTGATCAAGACCATGCAATGGCTAAAGCTTTACTTGAGGTAATGCCTGAAACATATCATGGTCTATATTCTTGGCATTTGATGCAAAATGGCATAAAACACCTTGGTAATTTGATGAAGAATGGGTCTCATTTTTTGAAAGATTTTAAATTTTGCATGTACCAATGCTTAGAGGAAGTTGATTTTCAAACAGCTTGGGATAAATTGTTGTGTGATTATAATCTTCAAGATAATAGATGGTTAACAGGTGTGTACAAAGTAAAGGAGAAATGAGCAAAATGTTACATGAAAAATGTTTTCACTATTGGCATGCAAAGTACACAGCTTAGTGAGAGCTTGAATGCAGATTTGAAAACTTGCATGAAACCAGACTTGGATGTAATACAGTTTTTTAAACACTTGGACAAGGGAAGCAAAGAATGGACTTGTGAATGATACACATGACAGAAATGTTCAAGAAGATGTTAATCTTGATAGCACACAACAATATAGGCAAATTTGTCCTAAATTGGTGAGAATAGCCACACAAGCATCTGACTGTAAAGAAGCATACATCTTTATGGAAAAGGCTATAGAAGAGTTCAGAAAGCAAGTTGATGATATTTGCAAGAAAAATTTGGGACTAGAAAATAATGATGTCAATTCTTTCATCTCTTTCCCAAATGAAAACCCTCATTCCCTTCAAGTAAAGGTTTGAAAAAGAAAGATGGTATAAAAAATTGTAGAAAGCGTCCAAAGAGTTGGGTTGAGAACCAACCCAAAAAGACAAAAAAGGTTCAAAGAATCAATTCTACACAAATAAACAATTGAAGATATTTCTATTTGATTTAGTACTTTATTTAGTATTGTTTTATTTAACTTTTTAGCTTTGCCAAATTTGATATCTTCTTCCATATTCTTTGCTTTGTTGCTTTTGCATAGGAAAACACTATTTTTTGTGGCATACCTGACATTACAAGTTCTCATGAAAGTGACCATGGTTTTAATAGACTTTTAATGGTAAGAGCTTTGACACCTTTAAATATAATTTTTGAAGCAAAACCAATTTTTTTAATTTATTTAAATATTCTCTATATTGTATTTATAATAAATTTGTATTGTGTTATTTAGCAGGAGCCACTTCATGATTACAATCATCAAACACCAAGTTCAACCATGTATCGGTTTCTTTGAGTGATGTATCAAGCTTAATGAGCAACCAGAATTTTTTGCATGTGAAGTGATGGAGACAGTTTCAACACAAAGTGTTGGTTTTGTTGTTTTTTGCATGTCAAGTGATGCAGACAAATTTAACACACTTATTTGAGATTTGTTGTGTTGTATGTTGATATTGTACTGCATGAAAGTTGTGCTATCATGCAATGTGATGCAGACAGTTTCAACACACTTATTTGAGATTTGTTATGTTGTATGGAATTAATATTGTACTGCATGAAAGTTGTGCTATCATGCAATTAGTTTTGGAATTATTTCTGAATTTGTATTGTACTGGGAGATCTTAAAGCGAGATATGTAATTTTTACTTTTCACATCCTAGTTAATAGATTTCATTTATAGATGCTTGATAACATGATACATAGGCAATAAAAGTGCAAGTGTACTGTTTCATATTTAGACAGCAATTGGAACCAAGTAAAAATAATTGAGAAACAAACGGGAATTAAAAATACATTTGCAACTCATAATATTGTCAATCAAAAATTTTAAACCATTGCAACTCATAATATTGTTAATCAAAAATTTAAACCAAATGGTGTGTACAACAATGATTCTCATCAAGTAACATAGTAGGGACTGGACTACTTCACACATTAATGTTATATGAAAACATGAATACACAAGATTGTCGTTGCCACATTTAACATTTATGTACAATAGAGGAGCCTATATTTTATATCACACAGTCATTTGTAGTCAACTCAGGAAAGAAGCAACACTAAATGGCCTAAAAATAGGAGCTGTGCAATCTGTCAACCTTCCGGCACCTTTGGAATCTCACTTGAATATTCTTGACAAATAGTCAGGGAAGAGATGCAAGCAAACCACCATGCATTGCAGGTTCACATATGTTTCTAGGGATTCTTCTTAGAATTCACAGTTGTAATTGCAGGAAGCCAGCATGTAGTGGGAACAAGCCAAAGTAACAACATAATCTGTATGGACATATGACGAAATTAAAAAATAAAAAACTCAGATGATAAATAACAAAAAACATACCACATCAAAGGAAAATAAAACTAAGTAAAGAAATATTAGAATACTAAACTTCTTGAGCAATGACTATAAAATATCAGAAAATACGCCGTGATTTGGATTAGATAGTAGAGGAAATGTTGTCTCTTATTCAATAGCATACAACCTTATTCCTAAACCAAATAACCGGAGAGAAAGACATAACATAGGAGCTGTATTTGTGTTTTTGTGGAATTGTAACAATCACTTAGCCCAAATAACCAGGCATAACATAAGTCCCAAATCGTATAGTGTTCTAATATTTCCCTTATTTCATTTTCCTTTAACATTAGGATGGTGCCTTATGTTAGTTTCATTTGTAATTTCTATTAGCAACTTTGATGAAATAGACTTGGTATTACTTAGTAATAAAGAGGAAAATTACAAAGTAAAGACTAATAATCGTTTACCAAAAAAAAAATTACTAATAATCAAGCAGTATGTGTGCATCAGTCCTACTTTTACATATAATTCATTATGAGATTCATTCAAGTGCCACAAAAATTTTGTTATGCATTTTTTTCTTCAATGGAAATTTCTGGAAAAAAAAAACAGAAGAAGCACACATTTTTCATCCAAGAACGAAATGTTTTTTCCAAAGAACACGAGATGATTTTTTCAAGGAGATACAATCATGGTCAAAGATTAGAGATCTGCAGAGGATAAGGCATTTTTACCTTGTGCTATTTGAACGATGGTGCTCTCAAGGAATAGTGATGAAAAAATGTAGAAGGGTGGTGGTCTTCAAACTTCCACCGGACAAGATGCAACTTCGCCGGAGAGAAATGGGTCTAGTGAACTCAGAGAAATGGGTCATGGTGTCTTAGCCGTGTACCAAAAAGCAAAAGTGGAAGAGAGAAAATTAAGATAGTGGTTGAGGAGAGAGAAGTGGTAAAAAAATAATGACCGTAGATTTATTGTTAAAAAAATAAATGGCTTGTGATAATTTAACATGACTAGGTCATGTGAAAACTCCACATAAGAGAATTCACTCTCATTGTGCAGGAGGAAAATGAGGGGGAGATCTCGAGTAAGACGTAACATGTCTTACTTTGGAATATCTTCTGATGTATTATAGATAAGGGACAACAATATTGGGACTTGTTTAATGGATCAACCAATTGGGTTGGCCATAACAAAAACTATATTCAATAATAAAAATATAAAAAAAAATGTATTATAATTTTTTTTCCTTCTACAGTTCTGCCAAGTCATCGGATCTTGATGTATTATAAAAAATTAAAAATTAAAAGTTGCGTACAATGTTCTTTTTGTCTTCTTCAATCCATATATGTTAAATGTTAACCTCGTAATTAAATGCATATTGAATGTAATTAAATTTATGAGTGTATTAAATTAGGACATATTTACTAGGATAATTTCATTTTTTTCTTAAAAACAAATAGATACTATTGTTAATTTTTTTCCAATATCTTAAATTTAAACTCTTTTCAATAATAAAGCGATTTGAATATTTTCATGCTCTTGAATAATAAAATATAATATTATTAGAGAATAAAAAAAACATAATTTTAATTATGTAAGAACCCATTATGAATAAAATATATTTTTGTTTTTGATCCACACCCCACATGGGGTGAGTTCAAATCTTGCTAGCCAATATGAAAATTTAATTGATAGGTAATATGTAATTCTTTTCCAAAATTCTAGGTTTGGGGTATTCCGTGATCTTGGTGGGATACAGATGTTTCACCGCATTTAAAATTTTTTTTTTAAAAAAAAAGTAAGAAAAAAACAAAGGCGAGAAAATGCGACCAAAAAGTGCGGAGGTTGTGCCATATACTTTGAAGGTGGGGCCCAACTGGGTTGGTGAGCAACAGAGATACACTTCCAAAAAAATAAATAAAAATATTAAGAACGCATAAAACCGAGCCACGTGTAATAGCATGGGTTGGCTCTGTATATCAGCGACCTAGCTCACACTTGTTTTGTTTCATTTGACGAGTGGCAGTGAGTGGCATTGGACTGAAATCTGATCGACAATGGCGTCTGAAGGCATTCTCCTCGGCATGGGTAACCCACTCCTTGACATCTCCGCCGTCGTCGACGATGACTTCTTGCAAAAGTAAGTATATAATCTCCTCCTCTCGTTTTTAGATTCTGAGTAACCTATTGGATTATGTTTTCTAAATTTGTCTGATGGCGTGGCTGTGATATTAGAGAACACCTTTCGAAAGATTTTATTCGATGTTTAAATGAAATCTTATTTCGTTATGGCACCGATCAGATCTCATAGTTCTGGTTCTGCATGATTTTTATTTTTTTATTTTTTGTGTGACAGATATGACATCACCTTGAACAATGCAATTCTCGCGGAGGACAAGCACAAATCCATGTAAGATATCTCTCGTAACCCCTACACGACAGTGGTTTACTTTTTTGTGTTGTTCATATGGCTAGTTGTCTTATCCGAGTCATGCATGGCTATCCTTCATGTATAGTTGAGTTTCATTCATATCAATTATGAATATTTGTTGATTTTCTTTGGCGGTTTAGATTTTGATCAGGTATCATTTCACTTCAACCACTGGAGTTTCAAATGTTTTGATTATTTTACACCTTGGAACGCTCCGTAATCTGGTTCTGGTTCTCTCCCATGTTCTTTGCGAAGTGTATTTAATGTCATAAACGTGCTGGTTTGATATGCTTATTGGGTTTCTTGGAGTTATTAATTATTATTTTACCCACTTATCACTATTATGCTCTGCACCAATCCTAACTATTAAGGGAACTCCCAAGTTTTGGGTATGTCTGTCACTGAATACCCAGTGTCTATATTTTTGCATTATTGTAAAGTAAAGACTTGATGCAATAGTGAATAGGATTTTCAACCTCCTCTTTGGATAAGATTTTACATATCTCTCCCCCACCAAATTTCCTTTTATTGTATTAATTATTGGGTCATTTATGGTTAGAAAATATATTTTTTGAGTTCATTCGATATGATCAGCACAATCGTCTCAGGTATGAAGAAATGGCTGCAAAATATAATGTGGAGTACATTGCTGGAGGTAATGAATGCACTAGATCGGAAATATTGGATTTCAGATAATTGCTTTACTATTTAATATCATAAGCAAAATAAACAAAAAAACAAAAAACAAAAAACAAGTGGGAATGGAAGTGCACAATTTATAATGACAGTTTCTACAACTTTTGTATTGGGGCAGGTGCTACTCAGAATTCAATCAGGGTTGCACAGGTATGTACTGACCTTGTTGGTAGTATTCTGAATCTGGTGTAGCTTTACTGAAAAGTAATTTACCATTTACCTTTGCCTCTTATAGTGGATGCTTCAAGTGCCTGGTGCAACGAGTTACATCGGTTCTATAGGAAAGGATAAGTTTGGGGAAGAGATGAACAAGAACTCAAAACTTGCTGGTGTAAATGTAGGTTTAATTTTGTGATACCTTCTCCTTTCCTTGCCATCTGCTTCTCTGTATACTGACTGTTTTTGAAATTAACTAATTCATTCATCCATCAGGTTCATTATTATGAAGATGAAACTACACCTACCGGAACTTGTGCTGTTTGTGTAGTTGGTGGTGAAAGGTCAGATGATCAAGCTTTCCATTTTTTTTAATAACTAAAATTATTATTTATGCTATTTTTAAAGAAAGTTTACATCTTTCACTTGATATTTACTTGATTGCAAAGCAAATTTTTTGAAGCCTTGCATTTGATTGCATCTAAATATAGGTCTCTTGTTGCCAATTTATCAGCGGCAAATTGCTACAAGTCTGAGCATTTGAAGAGACCAGAAAATTGGGCATTAGGTACCCTGTTGTTGGTCTATGTAGGCTTTCATTTATTTCTTTCACTCTTCATTTTCAAGTAATTATAGATGACTGACATTCGTTATTATGCATTTTTTCCTTACACAGTGGAAAAGGCCAAGTATTTCTATATTGCTGGCTTTTTCCTCACTGTATCACCTGAGTCCATCCAATTAGTTGCTGAACATGCTGCTGCAAACAACAAAGTAAGATATGATTGAAAAATTGGTGTTCCCTGTTCAATAGCAGTTTCTGATACTCTTTTTTGTTTTATTCCTGTACGTAGATCTTTATGATGAACCTTTCTGCCCCATTTATCTGTGAGTTCTTCAGGGATGTACAGGAGAAAGCTATGTCGTAAGAATCCTTCCCTGATAAATTCAAATGAATGAAATTTTGCATATTTGTTCTTAAGGATGCCAATTCTGGGATTCAGGTATATGGACTTTGTTTTTGGAAATGAGACAGAAGCAAGAACATTTTCTAAAGTTCATGGCTGGGAGGTAAGAATTACTTAGCAGATCTGTTGGCTTGCAGTTTTGGTATTGAATTTAACCTTTTACTTCATTTGACCTTTCCCCCCCATTCTCTAGACTGATAATGTTGAGAAGATAGCTCTAAAGATTTCGCAGTGGCAAAAGGCATCGGGAACACACAAAAGGATAACTGTTATCACACAGGGTGCGGATCCTGTTTGTGTTGCTGAGGATGGGAAGGTGAAAAAGTTCCCTGTGATACTGTTTCCTAAAGAGAAACTAATTGATACAAACGGAGCAGGTACTGTGCTTTTGCTTTTAGAAGTTCAAATGTGGAGCTTAGTTGCATATGCAATTATGTTCATGAGTATAAAATTTTCCCTTCATGTCTTCAATGGTGAAGGAGGGAAACTTGCTATGCTAGAGTGGACAACCATATAGTTAGAGGTAGAGGGAGACCAAGAAAAACTCTAGGTGAAACCTTTAAAAAGGACTAAGATCTAAATGTACTTTCTGAGGATTTAGTTTTTGACAGTACGCAGTGGGGTCGTTTCGTCCATGTAGCTGACTCCACATAATGGGAAAAGGGTTTGGTTGTTGTTCTTGGTCTTCAATGGTGATATATGCTAAAAAATTCATGCAAGTTATAACTTACTCTGTCACTCATGCATATACACACAAACACTTAATTCCGCTTTGACCCCTATTAACTGCATTGTAAACTTTATCATAGTCCTACAATATTGCAATCAACATGGAAAAGCCATGATGTTATCTATGATTACTGAGGCACTGCCAGTATTTCAGGAATAGATGTTGGGAGTGGCAAGCAAGATGCCAATTTTATCCATCCAGAATGTTTGTGTGAACATGGTTATATCACTTTTTTTTTGGGTTTGTAGGAGATGCATTTGTTGGAGGATTTCTTTCACAATTGGTTCAGGAGAAGCCCATTGAAGAATGTGTGAGAGCTGGCTGTTATGCAGCAAACGTTATCATCCAAAGGTCTAGCTGCACGTACCCAGAGAAGCCTGATTTTCATTGAGTGATTTCTCTCGGTTCTGTGCCGTTATGAAATTTTTATTATCATGAAGCCTTTTGTTGTATTTTGATAGTTGAACTCTGCTTGGTTTGGGATTTTTCAATCCCCCGGCTAGGGAAAACGACAAAACTGTTTCAATTGGTGTGAAACGAAAAAATAAAATAAAATAAGTTGTGTTGTATTCCTATTTGGGCATCGTTTCTTATTTTTGTTGTTTGGTATGAAGTCTTTTATATTGGATATGTTCAAGAATGTGCTTACTTTTGTCTAACTCTAGTCACTTCGTGTTTGATTTAGTCATACATTGTTATTATATTTTTGCTTAACCCACCCTATCTTTTTATGAGGCGAGTCGGCCACTTGTAATCCTCAAAAGTTTTAACTGAGTTAGTTATAGAATTAATCCCTAATTAGGACTTAATTATAGTTAATGTTCATTGTTCCTCCCCAAAATGTATTCCAGAATATTTTGTTGGTTTTTTCTCAACCATTCACATTCTCTCAAGCATTCTGGCATGTTTTTCGACTGTTATATTTAATTAATTTTCATTCAATTTATATTTTATTTAATGATATAGTTTTAATGATATAGTTTCTATTAGTTATATTTAGTTGAAAATAATTTATAATTTATAATTTATAATTCAAAGTAATTAATGAAGAGTGTAAATAAAGAAAGAGTCAATAATATTTATTTTTAAATTATATTTTGTCTATTTAGTTGATCTCGTGCTTTAGTATTAGACCTCATCTATTGGGCAATTATAAGACAAAAACTCCCAAAGTATTTGATTAAAGAGTAACAAGATATTATGCCTCTGCCTATTCAAGATTACCAATTGATTGGCTGTAAAAGGCATTGCTTACGTACTTGAAATCTGAAATTGATAAGGGAATTTCCCTTTAGTTGGAAAATGCCATTATTTTGATGCTAATCTTCCTATTTTCGCCGGTTAAGTTGAGCATTTAACATAGAAACTATTTAATCAGTCATTGAACTGTATTTTCAGTGAATGTAATGTAGGCCTGTTATTTTGAAAGTGTACTGCGATTTAAGACGAATTTTATTTGCAATGTAAATGGTTTAAAATATGGACTCGTCAGTCTAAGAAATTTTTACTTAATTATTACTTCCAACGTGAGGGATTATTCTCACAATTATATCTATCAAAATAATCAATCAAAAAAGAAAAAAAAAAAGTGTTAACTAGAAAAATTAGTAGCTATATTTGCAAATTTTTAAATAAACATTTAACTCTAGTTTTAATAAATATTTAATTAAAAGAAACAGTGGGGTTTAAAAATATGTCATCAAATTTTGAAACCATTGTGGAAGATTAGGACTGATTAATTAAAATATTAAGTTACAAATCTCTTACTTATTTTATTTTTTAATTATTTCTTTAATAATTATGCACTATAAAATTCAAATAAAAAAATTTATTTAAATTTTAATTAATTTTTACGAGACAAATAAATTGATTTTTTTTTTACATCGCACGGATAATAAATTAATTAATTATATATTTGTGTTACTTTTCCTTTGCCAGCAATGCCTTTGTCGTCGTCACATTTTCAAGTAAAAAGGGTCGTTCAATTAATAACCATAAATACTCGAAATAAAACTATATGAGTTAAACTATGAAAGTTTCTTAGCTATGTAAGAAACAACAGACAGTTGAGAGCTTGAGTTACTATTTTACTCCTATTAAATTGATTTTAAAGATTTATTTAGAAAATGACAAATTTAACTTATCTTGGTAAAGGCTCCTCCACTCCAAGTCCAAATCTAATGTCGATGACTCACATCACGCCAATCTCATTTTCTTACCAAGAGCGTTGAATTCACGGCAAAACTTGAGCGCGTGAAACAGTTTGTTGAGAGGCAGAGAGCATAGCCACCTCCACCTCCTCCTCCTCCTCCTCGCTTTGTCGTTCGCACCCAACCGACGAAGCCCACTCAGAAAAGGGAATCGCAGCAAAACAGAAAACCCGAAATCTCGGAACCGCCATGAGCGACCTTCCAAGGTTGCAGAACCTGCGTTCCACTGGAAAACTTCTCAGAGAAACAACTTCTACTTTCTCCTCCAACCTTCTCACATTCCTCTTCCTCTCTCTCCTCATCCTCTCCTTTCGAACCGTCGTTGAAAACGGAACCGCCCATGTCACATCCTTCATCGACCGCGATCCTTCCCTTAAGGCCCTCCTCTTACGCCTCGACCTCGCCGGAAACGCCAACCATCACCGTCTCCGGTCCAATCAGGATCCTTCCCCCGCCGCCCTTCGCCGCCTCCACCGTCGCCGTCCTTTTCTCCACCTCACCCGCGTCGGAACCCTAGATGACGACTTTTTCTCCGGAGATGATGACGATGGCCGCACCTTGTTCGGCTCCAATTCCAAAGCCCCCGTTAACGGAAGCTTCGTTGCGTTCGGGCCGTTCGGTCTTGACTCAGGCTTCTCGGATCTCGTCGCCGATAACGGAGTTAGGGTTTCGGAGGTGGTTCGCTCCGGGGTCAATTTCAAGGCTGAAGGGTTATCGTTCGACGACGAAGATAAAGACGAGGAGAACGACGAGGAGAACGGGAAAAACGAGAAGACCGATTTGGGAAACGGACAAGAGATGGAGAAAGGCGTTGATTTGCAATTCTTCGTGAAGGGATTGGAGGTCGGTCGTCGTGATGCGGCGGCGTTGTTCTTTCTGGTGAGTTTCTTGTCCGCGGCTTATGGATGGGTGATCCTGGTTTTTCTGGTTACGTATTCGTGGGTGCTAGGTGTTGTTTTCGTTGCTGTTGTTAATGATCTTGTAGGAAGGTTTAGTTCGGTTACTGGTGTGGTTTGGGATGGTTCCAGATTAGGTCTTAAGAGGCTTTCAGGGTTTATTCTTATGAGATGGGCTGTGAGGGATGCATTGACTCAGCTTCTGGGACTGTGGTATTTTGGTGAAATTGAGGATCAGTACTCGTTCTTCAAGCTCTTTGTTAGGTTGAAATTGATGCCTTTCTCGGTTACGTCGCCCTGGGTTCGAGGGTTTGAGAAGGAGATTTCTGGGTTCTTGTTCACTTGGTTTCTGGTGGATACCTTTGTGGCTTTTATATTTTCTGTTGATGCCTGGGTTGCCATTGTGGACTCCAGGAGGAGTGGCAGGGAGATTGTGAAGGAAGGTTGTTATTTGATATCTACCATGTTGAACCAAGCTATACAGATAAAATGCTTGGAAGCTGTACTTTGCGGGTCGTTTGTGAGATGGGGTTTGGGACGAGTTTGTGGGAGATCTTTGGCCAAGATGTTTCAGTCCACGATGGAGGTTTACTTCATGGTTGCTTGGCTTATATTTTACTTTGCTGCCAGGTGTAGGGATGCCAATCTACAGGGTAGGAGGTTTGGGCAGAGAGAATTGCAGGGCTTGGTTGAAGGTCATAGATGATACTTGGTGGTGATTAGGTGACAGTTTGTTGTGATTACGCACAAGTAGCAGCAGTGTTTCACAAGTCTATGTCCATCACCGCCATTATATAGTTTTGTCACCAACAATGTGTTGAATGTACTTCACCAGAAGGCCAATATACTTCTTGTGTATATTCCGAATGAGGATACTTCATCTGTACATTACTCATGGAATCATTGAATTAGTTCACGCAATTTGTGTTGGTGATGATAGTCACAAATTACAAGGTTTGAGAAATGAAGAATGGTAATATTTTTTTCCAATGCAACATGGAGCTATGTTGTGATGACCAAATTAATCCACATGGCCTTTCTGTTTATTTGATGTTATATTCGATTCTATATGGACAATATATGGCATGAATTGGACATCATCTACAAGAACGAAGAAAAACACATTAATCTGCAAAAACAGTGAAAATTATTCTAGAGAATTATGCATCATTTCCCCCCTTTAGAAAGTCTCCATGAAGGTCGATCAGGCTAAATTTATGTTTGTTTTGCATGATTACTGGCATCTTTTTCCCAACAAGCCACTATATTTGCTTATATGTAAATTCAGTTTGCAGAATTTCAATAAAACTCATTTTGCATCATGGAGTTACTTCGGCAAGGTTTGAATGAGAGGAAAAGTTTAGGCTGATAACAAAATTAGGTCTATATCAAAAAGCATTCCAATTGTTGAATAGCTATGTGTTTAGTTCTGCAAGACTGGTGTTTTGTAGTCTGTTAATACTTGATGTTTTCTGTTTGGTGGCTGATATGCTTATGCTCATTTGATGGCTTATTGAATTTTTAACTTTAGTTTTTATCATTAACTAGCGTGGGGGAATGGCAGGCTTTGATGCAGAGTTGTTTTGTTAGCTGAAGATGGAGATTAGTGATATAGAGTGTGAAAATGCATCTTAATTTCAATTTAATGAATGGTAGTCTTCCTGCTGGGGTTGCCTGTGAAGTAATTCCAGTTTCTGAAAGAGATAAGAGAGTGACAGTTAGTGGCCTTGAAATCAATGAAATGCGACATCAAATTCGAGATATGAGTTTCGATGATTTACTTAAAACTGTCTATTGGAGATGGTATCCCTAGGGCAGCATTTTGAGGGTTATGAGCAATCTTGTAAAACTAAAATTCTGTTAAGGGTTCCCCGCTTCTCCTATTGCTCATAACAATCCCATTATATCAATTTTCATGCAGTCTGCAGGAAAAATAAGTATAAGCAGCATTGTTAGGATTTTCTGGTTTTTTATGGATTCACTTAATAATCTTATGGGTTATCTTGGTTTTCTGATCAGTAGTCTATTTCATCTAGCCAAGGCACAAGCTAGGTTCTTTATGAACCAAGTAGCTTCAAAACTGACTGACAAAAGGACGATTGTGAGGGAGTGGAAGTGACCATTTCTTAACCCCTCTGCATATTAGTCAGTTTTTTAAATTATGGAGCAAAAGAAACATTGCGGTTTCCTTCCAGAAGCAGGTTCTGATTGTGCTGACTGCTGAGTCTTGCAGTTAGCAGCATCAATTAGCGTCAGTGCTAAACCGAAGCTACGTGGTTCTTTAGCCATCGTGTATGCCTATCGCACAATCATTTTTTTTTTTTATCTTCTAGTGGTATGGCTCCTGCATACTTCATAGAAACGAAGATATTTATGGTCGATGGTAGTTCCCCCAAAGCACTTACCAGATCCTTCGCCAATATCGACCCACCTTTCCTTAAATATGAGCGCGACAGCGTATACATGTCTTATCTGTTACAGTTGCCCCTGCATTCGGATTTTTCATCCCTTGCATGTTGATATAAAACTCAACTGTTAAACAAAAAATACTTCTACTTCTGACAAGCAGCTTGCAGGTTTAATTGCAGTGGATTTGTAAGAAGTTCGTGAGTATTGTGGACTACAATTTCACTTGCTTGTTAATAGTTTTTCGTTGCACTAATGATGTTTCTCTCCAGATGAAGAATAGTTTTAGAAGTTTTAGAACCTATAAAGCTACACACACAAGAAGGTGAAAATCGAGTTTAACATATACATCTTCTAAGGGGGCGTTTGGTATGAGAGCAATTTTTTATCAACGGTAACAAAAAATTGGTCAGAATATAGTGGAAATTTTTTTGACCCGAGTAAGTTACAAAAAGATGTTTGGTAGGCACTAATTTTTTCTGGAAAGTTGGTTTTTTTTTACTAATGCGATATTTGGTTGATAATGAAATATTGATGGGAATGCATAATGAAATTACGAAATTACCCATTATGTTAAAATATTCATTGACAAATAGCAAATGGGGTAAGCATGTTGTTATTCAATGCGTCAATTTCATGTTGTCGTCTTTCACCTTTTCAGACAAGTTGTACTTCAAAGTTGCATTTTTCAAGGCATTTTGGTCTTAAAAATAGCAATAGGGGTATCTCCATTCGTGAATTAAATTAATACCGCGGTTCAAATGGCATTTATTTTTGCCATCCTCTAGTACAAAACAATTTTCACGGTCTTAATATTATACCGATTTTTTGGATCATCAACACTTACCAAACATGGCAAGCATATTTTACCTATATCACTTTCCAAGGAATTTTCAGCAGATTCTCCATACCAAACACCCCCTCCCCTAAAAGTAAACATTCAAGATACGGTTACAATATAAAAAAAAAAAAAAAAATATATATATATATATATATATATATATATATATATAATAAATATATAAATATAGGGTTTTATAAGAGTTATGTTGTAGGAAAAATGATTGTGTAATGTTATAGGGTTTCGTTTTGCGTGCCATAATTTTTTTTTCTTTTTTATTAAAAAAGTGTAGACCCCATAAAATGTTGTGTGTGTAGCAAAGTTTGTTGTGTCATGTTAAATGATAAATGCAAATCACACACACACACACACACACACACACACACACATATATATATATATATATAATTTTAGGTGAATTAATAAAGGGTGTTTTTCGTAATTTTGTTTATTTTTTATTATATACATTTTACTGAAACACCCTTAATTAATTTACCTAAAATTATAGAAACACCATTCATTAATAAAAACGACGTTGTTTTTGGGGTAGCTGTAGATAACCTTATCTAAAGTGAATGTAGATATGTTTTTTCCTATAATATATATATATATATATATATATGGTTTAATAATTTTTATGTTGTAGAAGATAAATTTAACTCCTATACATAAATAAAAGTATGTTGAACCCATATAGATTATAAGGAGAAAATAGAGAAAGAGAAAATATGGACCTAAAATTATTTTATGTGTGTATAAAAGATAAAAATTATCTCTTGCAACATAAAAATGTGTGGGCTCATATTTTCTTTTTTCTCTCTCTTCTTTTATATGGTCTCATGGACCCATACACTTTTTGTGTGGGTATGGGGAGAGATCTTTTATGTATGTATATAAGATAATTTTATCTCCAACAACATGAGAAATATTAATCCTATATATATGTATATATAGGGAAATATCTTTTATGTATTTGTAGGAGATATCTCCTACAGCATGAGAAACATTAATCTCATATATATATATATATATATATATATATATATATATATATATATATATATATGAGGAGAGATCTTTTGACTCTGGTGTAAGACGTAGAAGTGTTACTCCCTATCTTAACAAACCAATCATTTTCGTCCATTTGATAGTTATAGTTTATTCAGTTATACCAATTAATTAAGGATTTTGTAAGAGTTATGTTGTAGGAGAAATGATTGTGTTATGTCATAGAGATTCGTTTTGCATGCCAGTAGTTTTTTTTTTTAACATGCGAGTTCCACAAAATGTTGTGTGTGTAGGAAAGTTTGTGTGGTCATGTTAAATGATAGAATGAAAACCCATTAATTAATTGTAAATAATTTTTTTGGTAAAATAATATTAATTTTAAGTAAATGATAATCGTTTGAACGAAAAACAATGGCTGAGATGGCGAGTAAGACTTTTAAGTCTTACATCGGAGTCAAAAGATCTCTCTCCTATATAAATATATATCTATGGGTTTAATGTTTGTCATTTTAAATGACATAAGTTATGTCATTTTAAGAGAGTAATAGACATAAGGAATGGAAATCATGAGGGAGAAAATGTGTGGTTTTTTAATTTAAATTTTTAATAAAAAATAATATTTTGTATTTATCTCTCTCTTAAAATGACATAACATTATGTCATTTAAAATGAAATTTTTGTCCCCCTATGTATATATATAAGAAAAATATTTCTCAAGCAGCTTGAGATATATTGATCTCCTTCCACTCAAAAATTACATCATTTTGTTTATTTATTTCCTTATATTAATTGATTCACCTTTGAATGATTATTATTTTCTTTTTCTCTCTCTTCCTTTATCATCATTGATTTATCTTTTTTTTTTTTTTTGTAAATAAAGAGGGGCTAAGCCCCAGAAACAGAAAGAAATTACAAATCAGAAACTAACAAGCTAGACATATTTCTAGCATCAGCAACTATAAGTTCCATCAACTGAGGAGGAGGATCTTTAAAAATCTTGAAATGGAGATTATTAGTCTGCCCAGCTTTAGCTAACCAATGAGCACATTTGTTGTTTTCTCTCTTGGTATGAACAAGTTATAATTTAGTAGCCGGAGATAAAATTATCTCAAACAACTTGAGAAATGAGAAACCCTATATATATATATATATATATATATATATATATATATATATATATATATATATAAGGTATGATTCTTTAAAACTGGTGTCAAACAAAAGTTTGGCACTTCATACGAGGGTCGTTAAATCCAGTATTAAAAACCCAGCCCGGCCATTGACTCGGTCGAGGACAGGGTTCACGGGGTCCCGGGTTCAATCGGAGGTCATGGGGTCACTTCGCTGACTCGGTATATGAAAAATTCAATAAAATCAAAGCAACAATAATTAAAGATTCAAAATATACTTAACATAATTCAACCAATTACATCTACAAATCAATATTCACAAGTTAATTAAACTGTCAAAGTATAAAACACATATTCCAATGGAGTTAATAAAAAGTTATATCATCAAACTCAGACCCTTCTCATTCTTTTAATGCACCTACAATAGTATGTAAAAGGAGATCCCTTACCTAATAGATAATAGTGGAGAAAAGGCGGCGACACGACAAACTAACGGTGGGGGGAAAAAGAACCAGCACGGTGGAGGAGATTATCGGAACAGGAAGACTGAGTTTGAGTCAGGGAGAGAAAATCAGAAGAACGATTTAGATTTTAGATATAGTTTTAAATCTAGGCAACAACGATTTTTATTTTTATTTTACACATCAAATGACGTCATTTTGTGTATAATTTTTTTTAAAAAAAATGCAATGACCCCTTTGACCTCTCTGACCCGGGAGTCAAGGGTTCAACCAGGGGATTTCGGGGGTTAGAGGGTCAACGCGCAAATATGGTCTAAATACTAACTCGAGCCCTCAAAGAGGGGATCAGTGAACCAGAGGGGTCGACCCCGGGGTGGGGAGGGATTTTAAAACACTGGTTAGATCATGGCAAATTAATAGCTTACAAATCAGAGTCGTTAGATTAAGGCAATATGAACAACTCTTAGTTGAGATGTCAAACTTTTTCTTTGACACTCAAAGGATCTTGTCGGTTTATATATATATATATAAACTGGTGTCAAACAAAAGTTTGACACTTCATATTAGGGCCGTTAGATTAAGGCAAGAATAACGACTCTTAGATGAGATGTCAAACTTTTTCTTTGACTTTCAAAGGATCTTATCGATATATATATATATATATATATATATATATATATATATATAAAATTTTATATATATAATTTTATATATATAGGATTTTTTGATACCGTGTCAAACTTTGAAATATGACACCAAATCCTAACCTTTGATTTCCGCCAATCAATGATTATCATTTATTGGAAATTAAACAATAATCAAACCTTAAACCCTATTAATTAATATATTTGATTCCGAATAAATGATAACTGTTGATTGAGAAAAACATCTATCCTTATAAAAGATATAACCATATGTCATTTTAGTTCTTAAACGTTGATTTTCGTCTATCAACGTTTATAATTTATTGGATCAAAATTATTAATTAATTAATAATAAGTTTGGCCCATTAAATTTGATCCAAACTTATTATGAATTAATTAATAATTTTGATCTAATAAATTGTAATCGTTGATGGACGAAAATCAACAGTTAAGAACTAAAATGACATATGAATATATCCTTTAAAATTATAGTTTTTTTCTTCTAAGGGGACAAATTTAATGGGCCAAACTTATTATTAATTATTTAATAATTTTGATTTAATAAATTATAACTGTTGATAGATAAAAATCAATCGTTAAAAACTAAAATTAGGATAAATATTTTTACGTAAGTTATTACATACACAATTGTATTTTCACTGACCCACTTGTGCAGTGTTTAGTGTGTGTGTTGCAATTCGATTCACATGTACTTTATAAAAAAAATTGTATTTTCAGTTGATTACTTTGAACGGCTTTTTTCCTTCTTTCCGAAGTCTGAACTTAGTTGTTTAGCCTGGTACCATCCAACCATCGTGACATCTGTCGTGTTTTCATTAAGTCGAATTCCACGGAATTCCTTTGGGGGGCGTTTGGTAGAGGAGAAAAATTTTTTAACCAGGTAAATATGATTAGTGGGGAAATTGTTGAAAATGAAAATAAGTGGGGAAATTTTAAAAATGTTGTTTGGTAGACCAAAATATTACCAGGGAAATTGTATAAAATTTACTGTGACAATGTTTGGTTGAAAGTAAAAGATTGATGGGGAAATATGACAAAATGTCAAAAATACCCCTGAATATAATTATTATAGACACGGTGGCAAAGAGACGTTGGAGACTTGTGTTGTTCATTTATGTGTTTCTGTGTGTCGGTGGTTTGGAAGAAAACCTCTATCAGTCCATTAATCGTTCAAGTCGTTTTGGAAGACAACCTCCATCACTTCGTCACGGTTAGGTCAAGGTCTGAACTTGCAATCTACACCAACTTACAAGGTAGAACATCAAACACTACTTCCAAGCTGCCATCAACAGTGAGTAATTTTTGTTATGCTTTCATGAAAAGAGTGAACCTTTTTTCATTGTGAAGAGGGGTTCGTCAATTTCTATTTGTGTTTATTATATTTTCCATGGTGTGAGGTCTCAGTTAATTGGTTTATTTTATATGTTAAATATGTATGAAATGGTTGAATCCCATAAGCCATGTTTAGGAAACTTACGAGTTGCTCATTTGTAGTTAGTTGGGGCGTTGATGTTTGGAGTCCTTCTTTCTACATTTCATCTTGTAACCCGTTTGAAATTCGCTTCTGGCTTAATAATGGGGTGTCTTCCTGTTACAATAATTTCCTGCCTTTCTTCTTGTTCCATTTTTTCTATAAGTTGGAAGATGTTTTCGTTTTCATTCCCCATTCTCAATTTGCAGATTGTTTTCACTTGTTTAGCCAACAAGCTTTCTACTGGAAGCCATCAAGTTTGGCTGGAAGGAGTATCTCGGGCAGCCAGTTCTTCCTGCTAGTCGTGGTACCTTGTTTATTTGGGAAACTTGTTTCACTTCTAACAGATCATTTGTTGCGATGAAGAATATAGTTATGCACCTGATTTCAAGTTTATTGAAAGCAGCTGTTGTCGTAGTTGACCAAGAGGGTTATTTTAATTTTTATTTTTCATTGTCAAATCTTTCATACACTCATAGTCCAGGATAAATTGTATTTTTCCAAAAAAATTTGAATTGATGTAACAGTTAAAAAGACTGAAAGGAAAAGGGAATAGATTGTAACAGAGCCCTCTTGTAATAGCCATTGCTTCCAGCATTGTAACAGCCCCCTACAAGCTTCTCAACATTGATTTTGGCTTCTCTGCACTAAAGGGTAATGCAGCTAAGGGTTACCTGGCAAAGGTTCAGGTTTGCAGGTAACAAGTCTTTCATGATTTTCATGGCATACAAAGGAGCTGCTATGATCAATGATGGGGTTCTTCTGGAAGGATATAAACAGCATGAAGTCCTTTGATGCAATTGGAATGACTGACAAATCTGTGTACATGTTCGAATGGTTTGTCAAGGGCCCAAGGAATGGTGTAAAAAATAGCTCAGTTATCTTCTAGTTGGGTTGTTTCATGATGGGAGTGGACAAGTACTTGTAACTTGTATATATTGTATAAATCGAACATAGACTATCAGTTTGTAAATAGGAGTTTCATGTTCTCAATTTGATGTTGTTTGTAATTACAAATTTTTTGACAGCCCTTCAAAGGCATGCCAATGACAATATGTAACAGTTTCAATGACATGAGAGTTATGCAATACCTTCATTGTATTTAAATTTGTGCTGGAATTGCAATGATGACTTTCATATCCAAATAAATTATTGAATCACCTCAATGGTAGACAATACTTGTATTCATTAAATAGCAACAACTTTACACATACAGCAAACTTTATAACACTTAAAGTACAGTATGACAGAAATCATTCCATAACAGATGTATCATACATGAAGTATATGAGCACAGCTCAGATTGGGTTACAAATTGACTTTGTGTCATGGTTTACAAATTTGACTTTCTCTCCATCTAGCTTGGCAGGCTCCTTGAATATAGTCCATTGGAATATAAACACATGCAGAATGTTGTAGTTGCTTCCAAAAGATTGATGATAAACCAACAAGAGGCTGTCCTATAAGCAGAAATGAGTCTCAACATCAAGGGCATCGGTCAGAATTCATGCCATTAATTCTTTAGGATAACCTGCAGTGAAATACAGTGAGAAATAGTCAACAGAAATGATATGAACTAACACATGAAAGTACCATTTATCAGCTATTCTTTATATACGGGAAGAAAATTAAGATGTGACTTAGTATCCTTTTGGAATGTATATCACAGACAACAACTCAATGACCAAAAACCCATGAAGACAGTCATAAACAAAACAGGTACACACTCCAAGAATTGTTGATGTATGCGAACATTGCACTTATATTTGTAACTCTTGGACAATGACTGTGGACAATCATCCTGCGGAAATAGGTAATGATTTAAACATCAGAGAAATCAACTTTACCATTAAACCACGAAACCTAACTTACATCTGTGAAAGCACAACTTACCCTCACATTCAGGAAATATTCTACTGTGAATACTCAATATACTGGTGACCACAAAAAGGCAATGAGCCAACTTTTGAAGCATTATATAAACTTTTCCATTGGCAGCCAACTAAGCATTGTAATACTACTAGCATTTGTGGTAACAGGTTCAGGCAAAAAGGTAACCATCCATGACACGTAAAATGAGATACAAAAAATATGGCTATCTATCCATAGCACAACCAAAAAAGAGTGACGTGTGATAGTCACTGATGAAGGGCCAACAATCCAGCCACCAAAACAGCTCGCTTACTGTGACTGCATTGCATGAAGACATCTGTGAGATTGCTATCCCTACCCAATTGCACAGCAACATGAACCTGTTGTTCCTCTGTCAATTCTTCAAACTTCTCTAGTTCTGTCATTATTGACATTCGCCTATGGCTACCTTCAGCATTGTATTGAAAGCACCCTACCAACTTATCAATACTATCTTTTGACTTCCTGTAATTTTGACTGAGATCCTTCATAACATCTACAACTTCCACAAGCAATGGATCTTCACTTCGCTGACGTTTCTTACCCCTCGTTGTAGCAGCAGTCGATACAGGAGATGGTGGCATGACCTCCTCTTGTGGGAGATCGGGCATTGTAGTATCAACATTGATAGGTGTGGGGATGTAGTCTCCAGTCATGTCAATGTACTCATCAAACCCAATCCCATTGTCTGCATTCATAGCAGCCTGTTGCTGCATTTGGTTAACCGTATCTGTTGGCTCCTCTGCATTAAGACCACGAGCTACATCTTTTCCGAAGACTGCTCCTAAGCTGTCATAGTGTGGGAATGATTTATTGTACAAACCCTTAGCACTAGGGTGGCTCTGCAGCAACATAATTGACAAAAGGTTAATGATAATGCAATTAAGATTTATTGTAACTGGAGCAAATATAAATTATACAAGTACATGGAAATTAGAAAACTAACTTACCTTCACCCAGTCATCGAATATCTCTCTTTCCACCTCTATCATTTTTTTTGTATCACTCCATCCAAACCCACTCCCACCGTTAGGGCCGATCATTTCAGCGAGAGCATTGTATTGTTTTTTTAACAACTTAACCCGGGATGTGATATGAGGGATACCTCTGAGGGTACAAAAAGGTATCCTTTGATGCATGAGCTTCTCTATAGCACCCGAAAATCCAGATTTAAAACCATTTTCCCCTTTCCAAATAGACCCTATGTCAATGAGACATTCCACCAGGACTTTATCCTCCTCGGCAGTCCACGTATGATTACTTCGTTTGGTTGAATGTTGGTTGTCTTCAGTCATGATGTTCAACGATGAGCTAAAAAAAGTGTAATATGAGAAAAATTGTAACAACCAAATAATATGTGAAAACAATGTTATATCAACCCAACATAAGCAAATCGAACATGAATAAACCTAAACCATGATAGCTGTAATACACATGAACAGGAAACTATTATGACAAATATTATAAAGATTCATAAGCCACCATTGAACATTATTACAAGACATTAGTTTACTGATCGAGTTTCGTAGTCAAATCTAAGGCATCATGTAAACAAACATAACTTTTGGACTATGAATTGTTACATAGTCCAAATCAAACACGTCTCCTCCAGTTGTTAAACATTTGTTGCGCCATATCGTCCCTCAGTTGTGACCATGCATTGGATGACTCCACGTGAGTGATCATATCATTTCCTCCCATCTCGTCTTGAACCGGTTGAAGGTCCACCTCATGCTCCTCTAATGGGTCAAAGGCCATTTCTCTTCTGATATGGTTATGCAGCAAGCAACATGCAGTTATAATCCTGATTTGTGTCTTAACCGGATAGAATGACTTCGACCTAACAATCGCCCAACGCCCCTTCAACATCCCAAAACAGCGTTCTATGACATTCCTTGCAGAAGAATGTTTCATGTTAAAAAACTCCTTCGCTGTTGTTGGTTGTGCCCCGTGTCTCCACTCACTGAGATGATATCTTTGCCCTCTATAAGGTGTAAGGAAACCTTCACCATTCATGTAACCAGCATCACACAAATAATAGTAACCTGAAAAAATATTGATGCCAAAAATTAGACTAAAATTGCATATATTAAGCAAGTGAACAGTTTACGAAATATGGAAGTTAAAGCTGTCAAGTTTGCCGAACCTTTTGGAACCTTTAAACCATTATTACGAGCTATGGCATCTCTGAGGACCCTCGAATCTGCAGCTGATCCTTCCCATCCAGGCAATACGTAAATAAACTGAGCATCTTGCGAACAAACCCCTAGCACGTTGGTTGCTATGTCTCCCTTCCGAGTGCGATATCTAGCCTTATCAGCTTGTAAAGGATTTACCTTGATGTGTGTCCCATCAAGAGCTCCCAAACAATTCTAAAAATTCAGACAAAATATTTTTCATACCATGTTAGCGTTGCATAGAACATAAATTCGACAAGTACATATTGTAACAGTCCAAAATGGTTTAAATTTACCTTGAACCACCTCCACTTTTCATCAGTGGAGTTCTCAAGTACTGGTACAGGTTTCTTCAGTAAAACTGTATGACAACGAACGACGGCCAACAACACATTCGTGAACTGTCGGCTAATTGTTTCACCGGACCGCATGAATTGTCTTTTAATTATCCTGTTCTTCACATCGTGTGCCAAAATGTGAAGAAATATTGCAAGCATCTCTTCTACACCCATATGCTTCGTTGGTTCAAGCCCCCCAACAGTTTTTACTAACTCACACAATTTAAAGAAGCACCTTCTGTCCATCCTTGTATTCTCTATACAAGCAGTGTCACTTAAGTAAATTATTCTATGGAAATTTACTTCCCTTACACTAACCCTGTTACAAAACTGCCATGTTACTGTCCTCCTTTTACTTCTCTTTTTTAGAATATCGCGTAATAACAAAGCACACATACTCATTAACAACATTGTCATTTGATTCATACACTGCAAATGAGTGATGAGTATGACAATGACACTAACCTCCATTCCATTGTTCATTGCAACGATCTAACACAAAGAAGGACAGAACAATTCAGCTTAAACAAAAATAACAACATATATCAAACCAAATTTCTGCATGCCTTTGATGAAATGCAGAAATAAGGAAGAACAGAGTAAGATGAAATTATATAAAATATTAAATTGCCTACATACTCAAACCAGTTGCTTACCAAACCACTGATTTAGCTCTTTTAGACAAGATGAGGCTCAAACCAAGAAATGGTTTAAATCTGAGTAACCCAAATATATATAACGTACTGCAAAAAAATGGCTGAATGCGTCAATGGCAAAACAAATTTAAGACAAACAATAAAAAAAAAGTGAAATTAAGAACACAATATAAAAAAAAATTGGCTATGAAAGCATGCAGCACTAAAGTGTAGGGTGTATGTTGTTAACCACCATTTTAAAATCGAAATGTTGGAGCTGCTTCAGTAAAAACTGTTTTGTCCTCTTTTTAAGCAAGTCAAAAACCACAAACGACCATGACCATACATCCCAAAAGAACATATATTGCATGAAAACATGGGCAGGGGAAAGTCATTAGCACATCTGTATAAAACCAAGGCTCTCGGACAACGACCATGAGCAAATCAACAACATCAATTCCATTTTTTACAAGGGAAAGTAACGCAAATGACTTACCGGAACTGTGAGGTACAGATGAGGACCAAAACCTGTGGCAGATGACTCCTCTTTGCTTCAGCAACACTCGTAAATCAGTTCAAGGATGCTACCATGGAGTAATCACGAACACAAAGAAATCGAAAATTACTGGTACCTTTGTCTACAACCACATGCATGACCCATGGAGCTGTTTAGGAGAAAAGAGCAAAACACAACAATATTTTCTTCATTCTGAATCGAGCTATGACTAGCGAATACAGACCATGGGTATTAGAGGAGAGAGGTGATTTTGGAGGGGCAATTGCGGTAATAAGTTGGCGCCAAAATTATCACTTCCCTAGCTTTCTCATCATACCACCTCCGAGAAGGTCTTCTCCAACAGTGCAGATTGAAGCAATTTACACTGAAACCAGTTTTTGATGGGGAAACGTCATGCCCTGCTTTATTTCTCAAAATCGAACACGTCAATCTCATTTCCCCACTTTGACTTCCCCATCTATCCCCTCAAAAAACCTCTACCAAACACCCCCTTGTATTATTTTCCTTGAAATCCATTTGGTTGATTTGTTTTTCCTCTCCTTTTTTCTTTTTGAAGTTAGAATCAGTTTTCCTCTTGTGTGTTTGTTTTTGATTGGCTGGAGGGTTATGTTTCTTACTTTCCCATCTCTTTTTTGAAATTTAATGCCACCACAGTAGTTAGTGGTTTGGGCACGACAAGATAGTGATGCGCCGTGTACTCGGGGCTTGGTGTAATTTCTGACCGTGTTCCTCTGAACCTTTTGTCCTTTGTCGTTCGTGGCAGTATTTGTTTTGGCTAGCTAAATTTCCTGCCTCTTCTGCGGTGGGTCACTTTTTCCCAAGTTTCTTGTGGTTTCGGCCATCCAAAAAGGGGGGTGTCGTAGAGCAGGAGTTTCCCGGTTTCTTTTCTTCTTCTTGACATTGAGTATTCCAGTGTTGTTTATCTCCTTCCCTATGTTGCGATCGGATGTTTAAGGGCGCGTTTGGTAGGAGAATTTTTTTTGTTTTTCCAAGATTTTTTGATTGGGAAAATAAGAATGCATCGTTTGGTATATACTTTTTAAAATTCTTTCGGAAATCTGATTTTTCCGAAATTTTATTTTGTGTGTAATTTTTTTTGAAAAATCATTCAGAAATATCATTCAAAAGGTGATATTTTAGGATTTCTATGGTAAGGGAAAATTTAATACAACTAAATAGAGTATCAAAAAAATTAACTCAATGTTTCAAGGAATATGTTAGTCTACCAAACAATTTTTTGATAACATTCTCAGAAAACTCATTTTCTGATCATATTCCTGAAAATCGTGATTCCCGGATAAAAAAAAATTTATCCTCTATCAAACGTCCCATGAGGATTTGCTATTATGTTGAGTTTCTCTTCTATCTAGCTGTTTGAAGTTTCCTGAGTTCTAGTGATGGAACCGCGTTTCAATTTGAGTTCCAATCAAAAAGTTATATGTGTATATAATTTTCTTAATTTTAATTTCATCATATTATAGTATATTTAAATTATATTAAATACGGAGCATCTGTGTAGAAAACACCAAGAAATGTTATAAGTTTATTAAATATTTTTTAATTTTACTAAAAAACACTTATTTTTTTTAGGCTATGTTTGATAACGTTTTAAAAACAGTTTTTTGGTTTTAGGAAAAAAAGAATTCCATTTAGTAAAGCCTGTTTTGTCAAAAATAAATAAATTAAAAACTGTAATTATTTTTTTATTTTTAGAATCAAATTTAGATAACAAGTATGAGTTATTTCTGTTTTTGTTTTCAAAACAAAAACAAAATATAAAAAACACTTAATTATTCTACAAATCAGTTTAAGAAAAAAAAAATCAAAACATAATCAAACGGGCCTTAGTTTCCTGAATTCTTTGCAAGACTGACTGGTGTTCTTTGTCATTCTTCTGAGTTTATTACTTGTAACAAGTAGTTAATTGAAGGACAACGTAAATAGAACAAAACAATAGTGGTTGAGTCACTCCGTTCATCATGCCTTGGAGCGTTTGAGCATTCTTTTAATTTGTTGGAATTACTACTGTTCTGGCCAAGAGCGCGAGCATTTAACAGTGATGAAACTATTCTTTTGTCACTGAATGAACGGTCACAGGTTCAAATTGGGGAAATAGGTTATCTGCAAATATTGTAAAGATAAGTAAGGAACACGTTTGGACAAAAAAATCAGACTGTCACACCAATAGTAAATTTTGCCAAAATGGCACGCAGTGAAAGCTACAACCACACTGTAGCGGATGCTACAGAAGAAGAATTATGCAGAAAAGGAAAAGAGGAGGAGAGGAGAGGATTGAGAGAGAGAATAGAGATTTGCCAAACTTTTCTGATATCCTTTTCATTACCACTACTTCACTTATATATCCAAGTTGGTTACAACAAAATAGTTAACCACAATTATAAAAAGGAACTAACATACTGTAGTAACATATAAAGGAAAATTATAATAACAGAAATACTAAAGCAACTAAACTATAAGACTGGTACTGATGCTCTTTTGGTTGGATTATGTGTTGCTACATTCCTCCGCCCTTCAAACACAACCTCGTCCTCGAGGTTGAGGTGACTGCATTATGAGAGCCAGCTACCTCAAGCACATAGTGAAGCACTACCTTGACAGAAAATATCATGAAGAACAGCGATTGAAGCATACTTAAAATGTAAATCTGAGATGTAGCATGAATTAATATATTTATACACGAATTGACAATTGCTGTAGGAGATTGATGAATCAGCTGAAGCAATGTCTTTGCCATAAAATCATGTCTATTTGGTCTTGTATTGATCAATAGCCACCATAGAATAGAAATGGTATCAGTATTTTTAGCATAAGCACATGTAGCCACACTATAAATGTGTAGATTCGGGAGGATGGTTGTGGAGAATGCCTTTGTTGTTGCTGATTCAGATTCAATAACTTGAACAAGCTCATCCAAGTAATCAGGTTGCACATGTTTATATTCAACTGAATCATATAATGCCATAAGGGTATTTGAAACTGAAGCATCCAATTCAAGTCCCCATTTGATCCAACACCAGCTTGGATATGAACTCGTTATACTAGAAACGGAGAATGTTGAGGCTACCGTTACATTTCTCCTTGTCATATAAAAATAGGCAACTGCCTTTAAACAACACTCATTGTGGCCAAGACTAGAGAGCTTCAAGTTCCAAAAGGCCATATTTGTATCGAGCCTGAGTTGAAAAATTGAGCAAGCAGTATTGATTGCAGTATATTGTGCAGACATATTGACAAGCAAATTGCCAATGGGAATCCAATCATCAACCCAGGCATTGTGAATTAGGTAAGCATGAACCTGTGGACTCTTTCTCTCCACGTCCTTTAAATTTAAAAATGCAGTAAATGCACAAGCATAGGGACCAAACGTTTGCACAAGCATCATTATAGCACAATTTGTTAAACCATACCTGGCAAACCCATTGACCAGCACCAAAACATCATGCAAATAGTGCAAGAATCCATATGTCTCCATCATGGCCAACCAAAGCTCAAACAAAATGGACATGTGGTCAACCCGAGAGTAGGCAGCAGTGACTGAGCTACAAAAATTATTAGCATTAAGCCTGTAGAGAAACCCTATAGCTTCCCTTTGTATGCTTGAAAATGGCTTGAAAGCAGGAATTACATTTCCTCTATGACCATTACCCGAAATTATAGAATCCCAGGATACAATAGTTTTAATTTTTATGTTACCTAAAATACTTCCAGCAACATCAATGGAAGCCAAGCAATTCTCTTGGCATGCTGGCAGAGCACCACCAATAGTACAGTGGTCTGGTAAAAGGTCAACAAAAAGAATTCCTATGAGTAAAATACTTGCCTCTGTCATTTCAAACTTTTTGATCAAAATCATCAGAGGTGACACAAAGTCCCTTATGACACAAAAGAGTCGATCAAAAGTGTTCCGAAGAATCCACCACTTCAAAGTCCATGCACGAATTTTGGTTACAAGTCCCAAAAGTGTGTCCAACAAATATCTCATCATCAAAATTGTAGATGATGTACAATTAGAATTGCAATCTAATTTTTCAAAAGTATAACATTTAGCCCGCCATATACCATGGACAAAGCTGCTCAAGTACATTTCCTTGCAAATCATAATGCATGGATAAAATTTATCTCCTGACAAAGAACCATTGAATTCCTCACTAAAACCAGCATAGACATAGGGAGTCAAAGATTCACACCAAAAGGGAATCTCGTCAATGAGAGATTGGCATTGCACAGCTAATGGGGCAAAGTTGTCCTGCATTAGTATTGCTAAGTAGTGAAGTGTATGGACAATTATCTTAACATGGTGAAGAACATGATGATTGGACTCTAACATGGAAGAAGCCATAGTAGTCCTCAGGTCCCAATCAAAAAATTCACAGCAATCCAAAGTTGAAGCATGGATTGTCAGACTGAGTTCCTCATGGGGTAAAACCTGGATCTCTGGGAGCAAGACAAATAGGCATGTGTTGTAGTTAAGGCCAGCAGTGACATTGCAGAATGTCAATTTGCACCAAATAAATTGCATGAGGTATGGTTCATATCTCCTCTCAGTCATTTCATCAAACATTTGGGTTGTACTCTCAACAACTCCAAATCCTTCAATTTCTCTAACAGCTTCAAACCTTGGGTTCATTGGACCTTTGCTTTTGGTGGCATAACGAGAAGAAAACAGATTTGAAGCTGAGGAATGCATGAAAAACTTTCTATCACTAGGTAAAGGTTCGTTGGGCTCGCCGACCATCTTCACAGAAGTGTAGACAAACCATTCTACAATGTATACTAAATGATGCACTTCCAACCTCGCATGATAGATCTCTTCTGGTAAAATTGAATAAGGATTATGCACATCCGAACACGCCATAACAGATCCGCCATGACGAACACGAAAATAGAAAACCTGCATTGCAGAACAATATGAATGTGCTCCTGAGTTGAAGATATATGCAGCACCATCAATGCAACTCATGAATTTCATCCCAAGGAGAAAAACACAATCAAGTGTTGAAAATTTTCTGAGCGAACATAACAGCGAAAACAAATTAAAGCAGATAGTAGAGTCGGGCGGCTCCGGTAAGGGAGGCGGTTTGGAGAGCCATCGCAGAAATTGCTTTTCCGCAACAATGTCACCATTATTGCAATTCCCGTTGGATAAGATGAAGCCCAAACAAAAGACGAAACCGAGACATAGTGTCGTGCAAGGGTCCACAACCCTATCCTCCTCAAGATCTGAACAATCGGTGGTTCCCAAAAAGTTTATCGGCCCCACTCGAGGAGATTCATCAATGACCGTGTCCAATTTGTTCGGGAGATCACAAATCAATTTTATGGCACTGGACTGTCTTCTCCCAATAGAGGGAACTAAGGGTAGATGATGCAAAGGTAGATCATGCAGAGAGGGATTAAATGTAAGATCCCTGTGAAGGTGGGTTTCACATTTCACGAATCGGTGACGCCTCACTAAGAATCCACGAAATATCCTTTGAATCCTAGTAGCAGCTATATCTTCCAGAAGATTAGAACAATGAGCCAAATTATCCCTAAACTGATTGAAATCAGCTCGCATCTCCGCTCGAGCTCTTGCAAAATCAACTCGCATCTCGGCCCAAGCCCTTGCAAAGTCAGCACACGATTTGGTAAGGGATCGGTCGAATGCATGAAGTGCGATAGTGATATCATCCCAGCGTGATGTAACGGTAGGTGAGATTGAAAGGTGAGATTGGGGATCAATGATTTGTTGGGGAAGAGGATGAATGCTACTTCTAGGTGTGGAGGAAGAGTAGCTCAATGAAAGCACCATTGTAGCGGATGCTACAGAAGAAGAATTATGCAGAAAAGGAAAAGAGGAGGAGAGGAGAGGATTGAGAGAGAGAATAGAGATTTGCCAAACTTTTCTGATATCTTTTTCATTACCACTACTTCACTTATATATCCAAGTTGGTTACAACAAAATAGTTAACCACAATTATAAAAAGGAACTAACATACTGTAGTAACATATAAAGGAAAATTATAATAACAGAAATACTAAAGCAACTAAACTATAAGACGTACTGATGCTCTTTTGGTTGGATTATGTGTTGCTACACACACACTAGTTCTGTCTACTACCAAGGAAACTCCTAGTCCTATTCCCACCTGTTTTATAAATATAACTGTTCTAACCTCCATGCAACATTTGTGAGAAAGATCCAGCACGTACCTGATTAAGACAACGAGCAACAACCTTCCGTTCAGCCCTGTATCTTGGATTGAACAACTGCTAATCTACAATTTTTTTTTATTAACGCACTAAAACTGTATGTTTTAGCTATATGTACTTAGGTAATATATGTATTCCATGTCTTCTAAATGTGACTGTCATACCAACTTTTCGTTTAGTCATTAAACACTGCATCTTTCTCTGATAAGAGCAAAAAAACAGAATTCGAACCTCATTGTTACTGAGTTGATTTACATTGGTGAGCTACATGACACTTACGCTTCAATCGACAACATATTACGGTTACATATCAGAATAGTTGTTAGAACTTCAATGATATAATGACCTAATGACTGAGGATGATTACACAAACACCCGTTCATTCTGTGGAGAGCTTGCAAAGCGAAGGACACTGAGGAAAAGACGCTCATTGCAAGGAATACAGAGTTTTGAATCTGCAATGAAATCATATTCGTCCTGAGCTTGATCCAGCAAGGCCTTGAAGAGTGGATGATTGAGTAATGTAATCTTGATGACAAATCTCTTGTGGTTCTCTCCTACATAGACAACCAAGTGACCCTTTGGGACATCATTGGGGATGGAGTCCCTTTTATGCATGGAAGACCACATAGCCCATTGGCAGCAGTAATCGCATGCAGCACAAGGTATGACACCACTCCCCATTTTCTTCCACTTGTTAAGGCACCTTCTCAAAAACTCCCCCTTCATAGTTCTCGGCTATGTGCTGAGATACTGAGAAAGACAGAGACGGAAGGAGGCAGAGAAATAGAGAAAAAGTACATGGTGACCTTGCAAAAAGAAAAAGGTTTATATAATTGCGGCATGGGAAAGGTACCAATGCTCTGCGGCATGAAAAGTAGCTTATGCTGATACAATTATTGTTGATATATCAATATCCAATATATATTATTTTAAGTGTGTCAGATACTGACAGTTACTCACCTTGCTCGTTAGCTCCTTTAGGACATTGCACCTTGATATGAAACTGTACGAACATGCAACTTGCGGTACAGTGATCAAAATGTCCTGGGCAAAAAATTTATCCAAAAACTACGCGTACATTTTACCAAACTATCACGTGCCGTAATTCGCTACGACCGGTAGCGAATCACGTTCACCAATGATTTTGTGACACATGACACACTTTCACAGGTAAAAACTGACGTGTCATAATTCGCAACCAGTGGTAGCGAATTTGGTCTGCAATATGACCATGTGTCACGAAATCATTGGTGAACATAATTCGCTACCAGTTGTAGCGAATTATGCCACGTGACAGTGTGGTATAAAGTACTGTTCGCATGATATTTAGATAAAAATTATAACAAAAAGTGACATTTTGGTCACTGTTCTGCAACTTGCAAGTCAATTATATATGGACTTGCAATTTCTCATGTTGTAGGAAAAGTTGAAGTTTTCTTGCCAAGAAAGAAAGAGATAGAGATAGGGCCCATCTTAGAGAAAAAATAAAAAAGTGGTTGGTATGGACATCGAAGTGAGGGTGGTAAGAAAAAAGACTTCTCCAATTGCGGGAGAAATCTCTTTCCCAATATATATATATATGTATATATAAGATTAAAGTTTCTCATGTTGTAGGAGATAATTTTATTTTTTACATACATATAAAAATATGTGGAGCCCATGTAAATCTATGTGAAAAGAAAAAAGAGAAAAAGAAAACATGAGTCTCATACACTTTTATATGTCTATAGGAGATAGAATTGTCTCCTACAACATGAGAAACATTAACTTGTACAATATATATATATATATATATATATATATATATATATATATATATATATATAGGGTTTAGTGAGTATCTAGTGACTTGATGTAAATTAGGTCCAGTACACTATATTCTCCCGCGAGAATATAATGCACAAAATTTTTTGCCTATGTTTTCCCGGGAGAACACCTGCAGAACACCATTGTAATGTTTTTGCACTATATTCTCGCGGGAGAATATAGTCAAAATTCATTCACTGGACAGTCCAGTGACTGAATTTTGGATTTTTCGATATATATATATATATTGTAGGGGTTAATGTTACTCATATTGTATGAAAGAATTTTATCTCACATACATATATAAAGTTTGTAGGACTCATGTGTGGGGTTATATGAGGGGAAGAAAGAAAAAATAAAAATAAATTCCATATACTTTTACGTGTGTGTATAAAATAAATTTATTACCGAAATAATAAACCCATATCGTAATGCTTAATTTATCATACTTTTGAGTTTTAGATCCTACGGATTATCAGAATTAACAATTACTTAAAGGTCTACTTAAAAAAAGACACATGACTCTAATACAATGTTAATATGTTATAAACTAATTTCCTTCCCAGGATGCAAGGATTCTGTCTTTCTCTGTAATTCTTGAAGACGGTGCTTGATCACTGACCTTTCTAAGTTCTTAAAAGTTCAGACCCCACAACTTGGGAAGGAAAAGATAAGATATGCATGAGGGATGGGATGAGTTTCTTGGATGAAGTGCGAACCCACTTATTTCTCATTGAATTTTGTACTTTTTTCATATCATATGATTCTGTTACAAGAGGGAGAAAATAAATATAATCTTTTTTAATGAACCTATATAAATAATAATAAATTATTTTATAATTATATTTATATTTTTATCTCTCGTAGAATAAACATAAAAAAAATCCAAATACATGAGATTGTATAGATATAGCAATTTATTCCAAGAGCGGTTTCAGATTTTGAGTCGTAATTGTTGAAAATTTTGTACTGTTAGTGCTAAGTGTTAAAGCTAAACGTCCGCGAGACAATTGGACTTTTAGTGCCAGATGATAATGGGTCAAATGAAGATGGAAATGAGTAACGACCTGGATACTGGACTATTTGGTTTGAGGTTTATCAAGGGAGTGAAAGTGTGAAACTACTTGATTAATAATGTTTCATGAGTGATGGAAGATTAACTAAATTAATCAGCAACTTTTTATGTAGAATGTTGGTGTCTTTGTCAATTTCAGCTGCTTTTTCTAAGCATGTATTGATGTGAATTTATTATTCTTATTTGGACTGGATTCAGCTTGCTACTTAAGCTGAATAATCTTGACTTTGTTTTGTGCATGTCGATCTAAGCTTACAATTTGTATGGAACAGAGAAGGTACTATCCGTACAAAAATATTACTTTTCAGTCTTGTAGTATCAATATCCTGCAAATGGGTTTGTGATGAGTTTTACTATCTTTGCTTCGCTCTCAGGCATGGGCTATGCATTGCATAAGGGATGGAAGAAAATATCTATGGTTGCAGAGAGGAGAATGGATGTCACAGTTCGTTACCCTAACTTTGACTCTCGGTATACGTGATATGTTTGACTTGATTCCCTCCTTCAGTTTTCTCATTAAAAAAATTCACTGGTCTTTAGAAATCTTAACTAGGATATTGATTTTCATTAGTTTCACTTTCAAGTTTCAACCATGTGATGATAGATCTTGTAACGTTGAGAGCTGCAAGCCCAATATGTCCCCAAGGAGTGGATGAGAGTTGCTATATGGGTAAAATCGTTAACTGAGATATAGACATAGACCAGGTTCAACGGCAATGTCCCAAGAATGCAGTACTAATCTGCGAAGTGGGGGAAGGGGAGTGATGACAAGGGCTTAAAGAAAATGACAGAGTAACGACACATAAAAGATATCCCCTTTGTCTAGTGAGGGAGGGGTATTTATAAGTGGAGAGGATGCCCTTTTCACATGGGAGGGTGAGCCGAGTCAACTCTCCTTGGGGGGTGTCATGGAGGCCTGACATTGCTGTGGCGCCAGCATTGTAGCTTCTGTTATACTAGTGGTAGTCACTGCTGCTATGTCTGTATAAGGAAAACTTCTATTTGGGGGTATGAAGAGACTGTTTAGGGCAATGGGCATCCCAAAATAAGATATTTTGATGTTTACCTTGGGATTACTGCCCCGTGGGGGATAAAAGAGAAAAATGTTGGTAGTTTCTGGTCAGCAAGACTGACACGGATGGCGGGAGGGAGGTTTGGGCCTCTGTTCTGTCTTAGTGGGCCGATCGGCTGTGGGCCATCCAGAACAGATCTTATCATTGTAGTGCCATGAATGTTGCTTTTGATGAAGGTTAACATAATACAGCAAGTTTAACCAAAAGTAAAAAAAAAAAAAACAATCATAGAACTGAACAACTAGTAATAGGAAAGTTCTTTTTGCCACAATTTTTTGGTCGAGAAAGAATGAGGGAAAAGGTGGGGTAGTTTTTAATATCTTAGTTTTCATTGTATAATTACAAAATTAAATGGGAGATGGAAATTTAATTTTGTTAAGAATAACATTCAACATTTTTAGTACTGAAATAGTTATAGTTGTGGAAGATGGGTTTGAGATTCCCTTTTTCCTAATCCTCTTTCAGACAGATGCTCACAAATATGATTGAGAACCAGGTTACTGACTCCTTTAACATAAATGTGAGTTGTGCTTGGTTGGTTGAAAAGAATAGCATGTAAAGTTTGACACATCATTTGCAGTAAACTGCCAACTGTTTTTCAGATGTTAAGAAGGACCAGAGAAAGTACATGTTTTTGAAAGGTCTTGTGTGGGATCTTGTGAATTTACTCACAATGTAATAGAAATACAATGTTTATTCAAATATCATATTTGAAAAGTCCAGATTCCCATACAGAGACTTCTGAATTCTGATCACGTCACAAGCAGAGCACCAAGTCCAAATAGATGAAAATTTAATGAACAATGAACTTGATTTTTTTCCCATAAAAATTTATACCTGGTAGTTAACCAAAATAACCAAACAGGTGGAAAACTGAACGAATCCACAAACTGTCACAAACAAAAGTCAAACTCCAATTTTTAGAAAATTTGTTCATACTATAATTAGTTGCTTCGCGATCTCTGATTTCATACTAATTTACTCTCCCTTCCTATTTATATCTAATAACTACTATCTCCTTTGAGTAAGAGGGTCTTTTTGTCTATATCTTGAATTGAGTTCTAGAGAGCAATGCTATTGTTACTCTCCATTAGATCATGTATGTGCTGACTATGAAGCACCGACACTTCAAAAATCCTTACGTGTCGTATCCGACACTCTCCGACACTCCACCACGCGTTGTAGAGACTCAAAAAAAGGTTCAAATGATGTATTGTGTTGCATTTTTAGTTCCAACTATTAGATTCGTTGGTTTACGATTATCATTTTATTGAGTTTAATATAAATATTTAAGATATCTTATGTTTTTTTTTGTAAAATTGATGGCTATTATAAGTTTAACTTCATTTTTTATTAAACTATTGAATATTAAATATAATATACACTACATAAATTAAAAATATTATTTAATATCAAAACGTGTCCTAACGTATTGAAATCTAACATTTTTTAGAATTAATGTGTCAGAATATCATATCTCGTATCCTGTGTCGGTATCGGTGCTATGATGTAACAGCTCTACGTACACTGAAATCCAGAGGCGACCTGCGCTACATTACAATAGTAATAAGAGAGTCTTCCATGATAAGGTTCATGAGGGAGCTTAAGGCTTCTAGACCAAGCAAGGGACATTGTGCGCACGTTTGGGCCATGAGGCTCATGGGTGGGTGAGCTAAGGTGTTATGTGTTATGTGTATTAAGAGTGAAAGCAAACTCAAGGCACTTATATACTATGCCATCCATCAACCATTTTTATGCAATGAAATTCACAT